GGGGGGGTAAGTGACACATTATTTGGGTTACTGAGAGTTAAACAGCGTTCATCTGCTCAGTGCAGTTTCTGGGAACTCAGTCAGATCACATATGGAGTACAGCTGTCTGTCTGTCTTTCTGTCTGTCTGTCTGTCTGTCTGTGACCGTCTGTTTCTCAGAAAGTTCATGTGAGTCTTAACAACACATGCACACACACACGAACACACACACACACACGCTGGACGTCCGAGCAGAGCGGGACCTGATGGCCCCGAGTCACATCGTGGCCAAGGTGTATTTACAGGTGATTATATCAGCTAATCGGTGGATTACAGCATGTTGAGTCCACACAAGCCCGTAAGCTGCGGGGAAAAGACAGTGCGGTCCTGTGGGATTTTCTGTTTAATCTGGTCCCACAATGCAGCGGGGGCCCCTCCCGTTCTCACATCTGGCCCGTTGGGATTTACTCTTGTAATCCTCGATTTTAAAACTATTTTATCGTGCTTTACCGCTGATACGTTGGACTTTAATTATTAAAATGCAGCTTTCTATTTTAGCAATGAAGTAATTACACGTCCCTGCTCTATTAGCCTAGCGCTTAGTAAGTAATGAGGTTGTGCCACAGTGAGCCGTAGGTCCACGATGGCCGTAGGTCGCACACAGAAAGATATTATTAGGTAAAGAGGCTGTGAACCTGGAAACATTCTGCTGCATCTTTTCAATTTCTGAATCCTTGTTTTAAGATGTTCTGAGCGAGAAGCTCGACTCGTGTGCAGATCGTTCCCACTGTGCACACTGCATTTGTTTAATTACACGTCGTGTCGCTCTCTGCATGAGGTCTGGTGAATCTGCGCCGCTGCACGCAGCTGGGGCAGCGGAGGGGTTAACACCACTTGCTGTGGCAGATGTCAAAAACCATGCTGTAAAAAATGTCCGATTAACACAAAGGGGCACTTTGGCAAATCCTGATTATAGGAGCACTTTCATTTATTAAACGCTGCCAATCCCCTGTACTCTCTCTGAGCGGGGATTAAAACCAGGTAGACACCATTGTCTATCCAAACAATCCCTCTTTAAGCTCTAGCTGTTTCCTGGTGCCCTCGCCAGACCTGGGCGGCTGGCGGGCCGGCCGGCTGGCTGCTTGCCCGCCTGTAATCTCAGTAGGGGCTTATAGGTCACTACTACCACTACACATTCCCATTCATCAACATCATCCCCTTTAGAGACTAGGTGATTGGATTTAGGACATGTTTTACAGGGGCAGAAAAAACAGGGAACAGCGAACTAAAGCGTGTTTACAAGCGCTGTGCTGTGAAAAGGCCCATGGACGAGTGGCGGCCATATGGAATGGATAACCCTGTGAACATCTGCCCTCGATCAGTACCACGCACCGCCATTAGACTGGAGGCTGTGACCTTCACATGCTGCACAGGAACATCTGGCCCTTCTCCGCTCTCATGGATCCCTGAGATCAGTGGTAACCAGTCAAGTAGCTGGAGAGAAGAAGTTCAGGTGCCGTTTGTGAAACTGTGTGAAGCGTTATTCGCTCCAGGTTATAAATGAGGGTCTGATTAGTTAACTAAACATTAGACAATCAAAATAACTCAATAACTAACTACTCACACTCTTAACTGTTCGGTTGCACCTCCATTAACTATTCAAGTTTCATCTATAATCACCACGTCTGCTCCTGAGTTACGGTGTTAAATAAAGTAGCAGTCAACTGGACCTTTAAATAATTGCATCATGATTTTGATCCTTTGTCATTAGTTAAGTCAGAATTATCAGTTTTATGAGGCTGGAATGACCCTGAACTTTGACCTTTATCACCAAAATCGAATAATTTAATTTAATGAATCTCTCTGCGTTCCAAGATATTTGATTTCTTAAATTGGCAGAGGCTTTGAATAAAAAATCAGGTGACAATATATTAAATAGGTTATAGAGGTTATGTTTTCACCTCTATTTATTTATTTGTTTCTAATCAAGATAGAGGGAGTAATTCATGGATCTCAAAAAAAGTTTTACAGTGTAAAACCCAGCTGAGAACTGTTCTTCTTTTTTCATACTAAAAGGTCGACACATGGGGATTCACGATATCTGAAATATTCACATCACCGCGGGCCGATACATCCGTCTAAAAGTATCCCCTCAAGTTACAGATCTATTACTGCATGGAAACATTTACTCAAGTACTGCCCTTCAGACAAGTTTGATGTTCTTGTAATTCTTTTCTGCCACGTCAAGCATCTCACGACCCCTGAGATTTATCTCATGACCCTTTAGAAGGACCTGACCCCTGTGTTGGGAACCACAAGACTGAACTACCAAACTATAAATAAAGTAAATAAGCCACAGCTGCAGCGGTTAAAATACTGCTTCAAACCGATGCATCGATATTAACAATGATGATAAAATCATTTTTGATAATACTTTGGTCACAGGAACGCTTCTTCTGCAGGACAAGCACTTGTACTTTTAATACTTCAGGCATTAAAATGTAGTTTTAATGCTTTTATATTTGTATTTTTCCCTAAGTAAAGTATATGAGTACTTCAAACGACTTTACTGCCTTGAAAAAAAACTCTTTTGTCATCATGCAATCCCTAAACAAAAGCAGGAAGGTGATAAATGTATATTACCAGCTGCTCTCTGGCATTAATTCATTGCACAAAGACGTGGCATATGCCAAAGGATCATCGTAAAAAGTTGTGTTGTTTTCTAAATTGAAAGAGCATAAGGTCCCACTTTCACACGACAATGTAAACTCCTCACCTCAATAATTGTATCAGCTCATAAGAAGCTTACTGTAATTCCAATATTGTCTTCTTAGGGCAGCAGCCTAAAAACACGAAATACAAATCACTCATTTCGAAAATTAAATGAAAACCCCATTGAAAGAGAAGCTATACTGGAGGAGCACAGAGGGATTAGCATGTAAGTCCGGCACATTTAATATTTACGGCGCAAATCGCACAATTAATCTGACAATGTGTTCTGTGTCTAATACCTGGACTGACGAGGCCGGCCATCATTATCAGTGAGGTGCACAGGGGCTGGGGGAGGGGTTCATAACCAATCCAATGCCTGCTCTTTAACCGATAAAGTTTCATTTAACATTTTATTTATTTCATAATATTGTGAATATGTAGTTTCTTCAGAAGTATTCCTTGTCATTACCGAGTAATACTCGAAACACTCCTTCAATATACTGTTACTGTCACTGCAGAGCTTTTTTTATAAACAGTCTTCGGTGCAGAGTTAGAAAACTTTCTGTTCATCCTACCTGGTTTATCTGCAAGAAGATTTTTACAGTCAAGTGTTTTTCATCAAATGAACCTGAACTTTCTTTCTCACTGTTCAAGTGCGTGGTTTATTTTAGTTTGAATGATTTTCTGATCTGCTGTTGTTTTTCCATCGATTGCATGTCGACTGTTTCAGAATCTGTAAAAGCAAAACAGACACAATCTTCAAAACTAAATTCATAACTTTTCAAAATAAAAGCTCTGTAGTTCAGTTCGATACAAAGCATGGCAGCAACAACGCGAACATTGTGCTTTCATTTTGAAGACAAATCGCCAAACGGGAAGAGATTCTCTGAATGTTGTCGCCAGGACGGAGATCAGCCAACGCTGTGTCGCAACCGTGTGACGACCTGCATCTCTATCCATCCATCTATCTACATTTATCTACATCTGACCATCTATCTAACCATCTATCTATCTATCTATCTATAAACATATATCTACATCTATCCAATTTCCCCCTCGGGGGATCAATAAAGTATCTCTTCTTCTTCTTCATCTAACCATCTATCTATCTATCTATCTATCTATAAACATTTATCTACATCTATCCATCCACCTGTGTGATGAGCTTTATCCATCTATTGACATTTATTTACATCTATCTTCTATCTATCATCCATCTTCTTCTATCTATCTATCTATTGACATTTATCTACATCTATCTATCTATCCATCCATCCATCCATCAATGCACATATGTAATAAACTATATCTATCTATCCATCCATCTATCTATCAACAATTATCTACATCTAACTATCTATCTATCCATCCATCTAACCCGTATATCACCGTGTAACGACCCATATCTATCTATCTATCTATCCATGTATCTATCTATCTATCTATCTATCTATCTATCTATCCATCCATCTATCCATCTATCCATCTATCTGTCCATCTATCCATCTATCCATCTGTATCTAGATATCTGGGGGGACATTAACCCCATAAAAGCTAGAACCGCCACTGTTCGTGTAAGAGACGTTCACGGTCACCCTAAATATCGGGAATATGGAGGTACAACCCTTAGATGCGGCCTCGTGCGAGCTGCGATAATAAAACCTCAGCAGAAAAGAGAGTTTCCTGCAGGAGGTGCTGACGAGTTTAAAGGGTTAACAGGAGGAGGCGCAGCTCCTCTGGGTGGAGTGAAGCTCGGTGAAGTTCACACAAATTAGCCCGAAGGCTCCGCTGCGATATGTCTGCGTGAAAAAAAAAAAACCCATCGACAACTGGACGAGAAGAGAATAAAGAAGAAGCAGCCGCGTCAGACCCGCGCGTAAAGACCGAGCGTGCGCGGACATGGCTGATGTGAGCGAGGAGGCGCTGCTGGACTATTTCTGCTCCAGCGGAGGAACCTCGGGCAGAGTGAGGAACGCAGACATCCTCCAGACGTTCAAGCCTTTCATTGGCCACAGTGACGCGCAGTTACGTGGTGAGTATCCAGCCATTGAATCGTGGATGGGAAATGTAAAAAAAGGAGGGAGGTGTGAGGTGGTCGGTTCCAGTCCAGTGCGCAAACATCAGCCGCCCTCGTGTTTGCCATGACTCTGACCATCGTGACAATAACATGCATTATTTAAAAACTTCACAAAACCTCCGTTGCTCTGTGTTTGGGAGCAGACATCTGGTTTGCATTTAACAGCCCCCTTCATGGATCCACAGCTCCAGAAGGAATTGTGTCATTTCCTCCCCCAGGGGCGGTCGCAGCAGATTTGGGGACCTGAGGTGGCACATCCACCAAACCTGACACATGCAGCTCCTCACACTCAACAGTGACTCTGCTTCCCACCATGTTAGTTCAGGATCCCTGTGTTTACTCTGTGGTTCTCTCTCCACCCACTGACTGTACGTGTGCTTATGCAACCGTGTCCTGAATCATCGCCAACGCCTGGATCTCATTCTTCTACTGACAAACGGTTTTGAGATTAACGTCGTGTGTGTGTGTGTTTGTGTGTGTGTGCTCAGTGTCCTTTCTAAAAGAAGTAACTCAACCTTCCAGATACAAATATCAAGTTTGAATTTAAAGTTAAAGGTTAAGTTAAAAGTTGCTCACAGCTGAAAGACTCATTCAAAAGTTCAACTTCTCTCTTCGACTTAAAATCCGGAGAATTAACTCCGGAGTTAACCCAGAGTTTGTCTTTCACACACACACACACACAACACAGCGAGAAGATTTCTGCACAACAGCAACAAATACTCCGCACTGTTCAGGCGAGAGGCGGAGCAGCTGAGTGCAGCAGACAGAGACAGGAAGTGACATTTTAACTCCGCTGCGGAGATCACGTGATTTATCTAGACAACACACCGACGCCGTCATCAGCTCGTATCACCACAAACTCTCCAGACATCTTCGTCAGTGTCTCCTAAGTTTGTGTCACAGCTTTCTCACCGGGAGAGTTTTCTTTTTCATTTTTGCGTCTGTCACGTAAAAACGTGACGTAGGAGGAGGAGCAGCGGAGTCCAGTGAATGTCTGGAAGCAGCTTATGTAGCTTGTGGACAGATTGTGAAACACGATGGGTCCCCCGGGGCACAGGTTGTTTTAAAAGGCCCCTCCAACTCTTTATAAAGGCCACGAGCATCAGGCTACATTTTCATTTGAAACAATGACGATTCACACATACGGAGGAAATCGTTCTGATGATCGTAAAAGAGACGAGCGCTAGTAACGAGACGTTACTGAGAACACATGAAACACTTAAAGTAGAGATCAGTGCTGTGAGCGAGCGAACTGTGGTAGGACAAATTAGAATTGATAGATAGATAGCTTAGATAGCTAGATGGATAGATTTTAAATTCCTCTTTTGTTTTTTGGCCCTGGAAACGAATAACGAGCTCCTTATGGTTCCTCATGTTTCCATTCCGCAGCACCTTCTCTACCTTTGGCACTGACACACAAACAAACTGTCTCCCCACTCAATGATTATCCAAAGTGACCTTGTGTTATTAGCACGTACGCTCCAGATGCAGCGTCAGCAGTGCAGTTGTTGACAGAGGTTTAGAGCGCGGCCATCTGACACGGCCGTCCAATTACAAAAGTGCTTAAAGTCTGTCGTAGCATGTGGTTGCAGCTTTTCATGTCGTAATTGTGATGATAGTGTTTTAATCATAATTAAGTCCACATGCATGACTGGGTGCAGACGTCTCTAATGGGCTCGCTTTTTCATCAGATCGGAAAAACTGGGGCACGGTGGGAAGTGCAGTTGTGTCCGGCTGGGGGGGGGGTTGGGTTATGTGCACATCAGTGTTTGTGCGAGCTGCTTGTTTCTGCCGACCTCTGGCTAATAAATAACGTACACGATGTTACTCACCGTGCTAAGCGATGAGGAATTCTTTTGTTGAGACAGATGTAAGTGCCGGCTTCCTTTGGATTTCCTGTTGTTGTGAGTGTGAGCCACGCAACTGTGTCCCACTACAAACGTTCTTTTCCGTCCACACCGGGAAAGGGAAACACTTCAATTGTCCCCAAAGCTGCGTGTCCGTGTGCACCTTTGCATGAATGGAATACCTACGGAATACGGAAAATTCCCCGTGGTCGCGTAGCAGAGAGGCCCGAGAGGAACCGCGCAGTCGGCACATGCCTGAATATCTGCTCCCGTAGTGTAAACAGAGACACGGAGCTTTATCTGCTGAGCTCCATCAGCTCGTCAGCTGCTGTTTGTTTGGTTCCCACAGGAAAGATTTAGCACAGGTGTAACGTGACTCAGGTTTTTGTTTTCGGGGATCCACTGTGATCTGTTTGTGTCCCTGCTAATGCTGGAGGGGAACATCTCCCTCTGTCCTGTCAGGTTTCCTCTTAAAGCTTCAACTTAGAAACACAAACCCTCAACTCATCTTCTATCATGTTATAAACGGGAACACACTTCCGTCACCCACATAAACTGACTGTGTTCAAGTTCTTCTTGCTCTCACGTATTGAATCCCTGACATCAAAGAATCACAGAATGGGAAATACTATAAAAGCTATATTTAGTTTTTGTGTTTAACTTGTCGGAAATTTTTCCTCTGCAGCTAAATACAGAGAAGAATTCAAGCTCGTCATCGACCGAATCGCTGTGGTGAAGTCAGAGAATGTGAGTATTTGAATGTTTTGACCTTTTGTGGAAGTAGGCACAACTATGAAGAGTCTGGTGAAAACTATTCGTGACATAATCAAGGACCGAGATCTGAAGAGTTGGTTTTTCCTCCCAGGGGACGACAGCTGCAGTTTTTGTTTTCTTTTTTAACTCTTCCAACGAGTTCATGTTTCCATCTATTTTGCAAGATTATGCAAAAAAAACTACTTATGCACTAAACCTGGTGGAACGATGCAGTGTGGGTCCTGTACGGTTTTTACATTGTTTGCTTCCTTTAAATCTAACGAGAGACTCAAATGAATTCCTATAAATCATTTGCAAAGCTGATTTTTTAAAGTATTTTACATCCTGGTTTGTTGTTGTCTCCCTCTTTCCTACTATTGTTTGGGCATTCCTGAAATTCCCAGTGCATTGCAGGCATCCCACAGGTCGTAGTGTCAGTGTGAGGATTGTGCATCGCGTCTTTCACCTGTCCTTGTGCACAAATATGTCAAAAACCGCACAGACAACCTCGATGTGTTGCACCAGGAGACAGTTGTTAACTCGTGTGTTAAAGCTCAGTGAAGTATGAAGAGAAAAAAGCTCATCAGCTTCTGTGCAATGTCCGAGTTTGTTCAAATTTGCACAAAGATGGAAATGTAAGAATACTGCAGCTGCATTCAGAGATGACTGTGACAAATATTGTGCTTCTGGACTCTCAGGGTGAGAAGTTCCTCGTCCTAAAGAAGAAATACAGGCAGCAGCTGCAGGAGCGCGATGCCAAACATCAGGACTCAGACGGGGACGGACAGAGGCGTTTGAGTCCGGCAGAGACAGCAGCCACTGCACAGTGGGACTCGCCCAACGCCACCACTTCTTCTCCTCAACGACAGGATGAGCGCATGTCATGTGGACAGGTGAATACACGAAGCTCGTTATTCTGCTCTCTTCTCTTCTCCTTCTAAAAAAAAAAAAAACATCAAATAATTTGTGGGATGATTCATCAACAACACTTGATGCTATCAGGCAACTTGCTGAATCTCCCATCGTCCCGCAGGACACAGTGTTTACTCTTTATGTGAGCAACGCGTTTATTTCTGAACAAGGTCGTCTTTGTTGCCTCGCACGTGTCGGCATCTAATGACGACTCTGGACATTTACACAGACGAACACTGTGGAACTGGGAAAAAAGCTCTTCGGATGGGGGGGGGGGTCTAAGTTAGCCGCTGTGAGAAGAAAGGGACGGTCAAAGGGCTTATGTCTTTCCATAAAGGACGGATCTGGTTAAGACTAATGCACAGAAGCACTCGATGAACACTTTATGTTTAATGCACATTAATCCTCTGGGTGTACTTTTACATATTGTTCCTGCAATAAACTTGAGCGTGGAACCATAGATTTAAAGGATTAATGTGTTTTATGCTGCGGGTTGAACGTCCTCACACATGTTTTGCTCATCAGGCACTAAAGTAAAAACATTATGCGTCCACACCCAGATGGTGAAGTACAGAGCAGGCGGAGCGCTGATGACGTTAACCTCGGCCGGCCCTCGACACAGCTCCGAGTTTGGCCTGTGAACATTCAGAGAAAGTTTATGTTTTGAGATTCAAAAAAAACTGACGCTAGAAGCTCTCACCGCCACGGACGCTATGGTTGTTGATGCAAAGTTAAAGACACGAGTATCTCCAAGTGTCTCAAACGATTATCGGGATTATACAGTTTGTTGAATTGACTTGGTCGTCGCAAACGTATTAAATTCTTGATTTTTGTATATTGGGGAAGTGAGATCAGATCACAGGTGATCACAGGAGACACGTTCAGGACGTATGTTAACGCCGGGTGTGAACGGACGAGCTCAGCGATGATCGGTTGCGATTGGATCTCTCAGGTCTGATCAGAGAACCGTTCTTCCACAGGAGCAGCGGACGGGAACAGTCGCCCCGCAGTTCGCCCTGCCGCCTGTCATCCACATCCAGGTTCCTCCAGAGCAGAGCAACGGGGAGGATGACCTGGACAAAGATTCAGGGTCAAAGGTGATTTAATATACACACATGTATATCTGCTCACAGCCGCTAATGTTGCATATGGTTTTTAGTGTCCGGTTGTTCAGGGGTCTATTTCAAAACATGGCCTAGGTGTTAAAATACCTCAAAATAATATAGTTTCTGTCGTTAATATCGCTCTTCTTGATAATATAACACAAGAAGAGCTGAAACAAATTACTGTAAAATCAGTGACTTCCTTAGTTGATTGATCTTTTCATCATTTTCAGATTTTAGCCTCTGAAATGAGAAAATGAGCTGTTTGCTTTTCTTTGTCATATTAAATAATAAATAATTCAAGTAAAACTTCATATTAACTGAAATAATGAATGCATGTATACTTTACTGATAGCTCTCTCATTTGCTGCTGTAACACGTTTTCTCCTTGTTGTGGGATTATTTCATCTTTATCTTAATTTGTCTTTGCATTTATATTTATAATTATATCTTTATCTATCCACTTTTATCTGAGCGCGGGCCCTCAGTTCTGCACCTTCACTGCAGTGCTCCCCGTGTTACCCACCAGGTGGCGCTAAGTAAGTTACCTGGCTTTGTTACCTACAGCAGTGAGTGGAGGGAGGAGCGGCTGGGAGGAGCGGGGCTGGTGTGAGAATCTGCATTTAAATGGCGCTCCCTGTTATCATGTTGAGCAGCAACATGTTGGAACTCATTAGAAAGATAATAATCACTTGTGTTCATTAAAGAGGTCACAGAGAGAGATGTGTGGCTCCTCGCTCGGCACAATGGACGGATGAAATATGTTGGAATGTGTTAATGTGGAGCCACAATGGGATTAAGAGCGTTTGCTGGAGGTTTTAGTCTCACCTTTGAAATGTGACTTCAGGGCTGTCGACAGCTGATTCATATCACAGACGTTACCCGGCTCTTTATTATTAATCTCAACACCCGAGGCTGTAAACTGTGAAGTCCGTCCCCCAAAAGGGCTGATGGGAAATTTAATTTACAATCATTCCTTTAGATTCAAACATATAATCAGGAGGTGAGCGTTTTCCTTCCCCAGAATCTTAGAAGATCTTTTTACCTGATTACAGTAGATTACAATAGATTTGGATTAAAGCTATTGAGGATCAGCGTGTTGGGTGATAGCATCTGTCCTGGGCACGTGAATAAAAGTAAAAAAAATAAATCACAGCACGCAAATGCCAAACAATAAATGACAAATTTGTTAAGGGCAAGTTGAAGAAAAGTCTTAAGGTTACACGAGAAAAGAGATGGAACTTGTAAAATTACTAAAATAAAGTTGTAAAATTACGATGAGGAAATAAAATCATCATTTCATGACAATATAATTGTAATTTCACAAGAATAAAGTTTTATAACGATGAAATCTATATAAATTAGGAATGTGACTCTTACCTGGATCCAACATTTTTGAACAAACCTCCCTGTGAAAACTTTTTGAATATCAGACCGACGTCACCAAACATTTCCTTCTCCAGTCAAGAGACAGTTTCCTCCCAGTCTGTGGTTCTTTCTTCAGAACAGACTCAGTTTCTTACTCAGTATTTTTAAAGGCAATGCAAGTTTATTTCTAAAGCACATTTTAGACACAGCGGCAATTTAAAGTGTTTTACATGAACATACAAGACGCTTAAGACAAACTAAATATATAAATCAATGTATAATCTAAAGTAAATGTATTAATCCCTCAATCCACTTTCACAAAAAGCCAAAAATTAATAATTTAATCACAGTTTCCAGCTTCTGATTTATCTGATGTGATAATAAACTAAATACATCTTTGGGTTCGGGACAGTGAGAATAATGTCTGCAGCCCTTAAAGCCGTTAGAATGACAGTGAGTGGGAGGGTTTACTGTATTTGCTGGAAGTCTTTGTTGTTTTTCCTCGTTATTATCGGCCTCCACTAAAAGCACTTAAAAAAATGGACGTGTGTGTCAGAGAGGAGCAGGCTGGGTAAATACTCCCCCTGACACTTTTCATGTTCAGCTCGCTGACGTGAAAGTGTTTTAACATCGTTTCTGATCTGAGAACGATTTGCAGTCAAGGAGAAAAAAAAACAAAAAAAAAAACACTGGGCTCCGACATAAATCAGCCGAGGTGACAGTTCTACACTCACGTGCCTGAGAGTTCTTCTCTCGACCACTTTAGACGGAAAAGGCGACGAAAACAACTGTGGGCTCGTTGTTTTTCGGTTAATTGTTAATTGGATTGTTATTCATTACCCCTCGTGTGTGAAAGCGTCACCCCAGCCTTGCTCTCCCATTACCTCCCTCTCTGTCTGTCACCCTTTGGTCGCGTCTCGTCAGCTGGAAACATCACGGCAGCGTGACCTCGCTCTGAGCGTGTGTGTCTGTGATGTTGTGTGACGGGTACAGTTCAGTTAAAACGTGTGTCACCTCTGAGTAACAGTTCTCTGTTTCCTGTCCTTCAGTCCGAGTCGGAGCAGGACGAGGAGGGAACGGGCAGCATGGGCTCCGCCGCCGTCGCCGTGAGTCGTTTCTTTTTTCTTTTTCTTTTTTTCTTTCTCAGAGGACGTGTGAGGAAAATGTGGGACGAGAACACGTGAGGTGAAGTGAAAAGTATGAAGTGAGGCGAGAGCAGCGTCACCCACCGCAATGTGACAGTTGGCTCTGAGGAAATGGATTAGATGTTTGTAGCTTCAGCACTGTCACAACCAGGATGTGGATAGTAGGGAGTGTGTGTGTGTGTGTGTGTGTGTGTGTGTGTGTGTGTGTGTGTCTAACCCCCCCCCTCTCTCTGCTCCAGCTGGATCCTATAGAGAAGGAGTGGATCTACTCGGCCGCTGGCGCTCGAGTCCCTGACCTCTCTCAGCTGCTCAGACAGGACCCCTCGCTGGCCAACAAGAAGGTAGAGCTGCTCCCTGATCCGCCTCTGAAGAGACGCTTCTGCTTTATTACAAATTGGATTTTCTTCTGCGGACAAAACCACTCACGCAATGCATGATGGGACGAGAGACTCAGGCAGACACAGTTTCAAACTCGAACCCAAACGCTTTTAGAAGAAATTTTTTTTTAAAATAAAGATAAATGGAGCTGAACAATGTGGTTCCAGAAGTAAAAAATCCCGATAAAGATTTTAATTATCAGCCTTAATATTGTTACCATCCAACACCATCAACTGCGTTGTGAGAAAATAAAACATTTCATTCATCACGTCAATATTTAGCGTTCACTCTTTCTCCTGCGGTGTTTTGTGCAGTAAAATACTTCTACTGCTGTTTGTGTTTAAAAATACAGATTTTCTTGATCGACTCTTTTCAAACATCAAACAACATTAGCGTGAGGACGCCGTGTTCTTCACGTGTCAAAGTTACTTTGCATGTGTCTGAATTTCTTTTTTACTTCAGCTCCTGCAGTTCCTGGAACTATTTGTCTCACTGCTCGTTGTCGCTGATTATTAATGGTTTGTTTATTTTTTGTTTTTTTCCTGGGGGGGCGTGTCCAACCAGGACTTCACCTCAGTAAGTATTTTATGCGTCACGTGAATCTGTAATTTAACGTATTTATTATTACGTCGCTGTGTGAGAAAGTTGTTTGTGACTCTAACTTCTTTATCTTTTCATCCTGACGCTCCTGTCTGATGGTGACCGTCCTCTCAGGGGGTAAGTCTCTTCACTCTCTATCATCACCTCGTGTGTGAAGACACTGAGGCTGCATCCACACGACCGCTCCTCTGATACAGATGCGCCTGGCGTCCGCACCGCTCCAAAGTTTTCGAGGAACTAGAACTGAGATGTTTATAAACGCTGCTGGTCCCATTTTAGTTTGAAAACTCCGGGGCTGTTTAAGATGTTTGGACGAACAGGAAGTGACATGATTGGAAACGAGGGCGTAGACGTACACACAAAGCGAAGTGCGGTGGCACAGGAAGAAAGAAACTGTTTGTACTTAAGAACCCATTTGTATATAAATATTTTCTGTTTAAAGTAGTGCAAAGTACACGTAGTATAAATATCGTACGACTGCTTGCGTAGAAGACGAGCAATAAACAATTCCTGTGTACACTGGGACACGTATGTCCAATGTACGTGAGCCAAGAGTTTTCAAATGACAACGCATTACTGTGGATGTAACTTCACATTTATATCAGAACACAAGTTAAAGGTTACGTCCATCGCAGCGAACCATATTCGCGCTCGCCGCTTCGCGACCCAATCGGCCGATTCCTCGAAAACCACGTTTTTTGCTTGTATAACTTTCACAAGCTCACTCAGTCGAGATTTTCCCTTTTAATAGTGTTCTGAGAAGCCCGTGTTAAAACATCCAGATCATGCATTTCAAAAGGTCCACTATCAAAAGGATTATGAAAGATAGCTTTTTAGCTCCTGCGGCCCCCTGACAACCCAAATCCTTTTATTTGTCTCCCTGTGCGCTTAAGAGATTTGAGCTCATGTTTGTTGTCCCTCCCCTGTGTCACAGTTCTCACACTGTCCTGTGGCCGTGGCGGACCACCTTCTAAGAGCGGCCCTTAAGCCTCTGCCATCCCCACCCGGACAAGATAGCACGGCCGCCATTGAAGTGCAGGGAGATGTAAGGGTGGGGGGGGGGGGGGGGGGGTGCTGGGATTAAGGAGAGTCTTAATGCTCCACAAAGACTTCACCCACTTAAAGATAATCTGAAAGTAATAGAGCAGGCTGGGATTAATTGTAGAACAATGCTGGTTGTGTCCCTGGGAAGGTGCTGAGTCCCCCTCGGGCCTCTTTGATGTTCCCTTCAGCCTTCCCCTGTGCAGCAGAGGTGGACGCTCCGCCACAGATAACGTGCACCGATACCCACAATCCAGAAAGTCTCATGAGAACCGAAGGCCTTGAATCCCAGGTGCCGTTTTATTTGATCCGTCCTGACTTTGCTCAGCAGAAGTGCAACGGACACCAGGGTCTAAGTCACGTGTTTGGACGGGACTGAAGGGATTACTCTTCATCCTGAGGAGACTTAAGTGTTTCCTGTTCTGACCAAATGTTTGTCGGGATCAGGTGGTTTCACAGATGTGCTCTCAAGCAGTGGTTTAACATTGAAGTTGCTTAAAAGTGAAGAAGTCAGACCTCCTGTAAGTGTCTCTCTCTCTCTCTCTCTGTCTCTCTCTTCCTGCTCGTGACGTGCGCCTCTGTTCCTGCTGTGACGGACTTCCTCCGCCACACAGTTTGTAAGTACATCATTAGCCCATCACTCCTCACCGTCTTCCTCTGCGTCCGGGGGCAGCGTCAGGCTCACGGGTCATTGTGTCGCCCGTCGACGTGAGCCCTCTTTAGCCACCGCTTCCCTCACTGGGGAGCGCAGGGCGGGGACAGGGCCGTCCCCGAGTGATGGGACAGGTGGGGGGTCGCCCCCGGTCGGCGGAGAGAGAAACGTGAGGTGCAGGAAGGGAAGACGCCGCATCCTGTTCGGCCTCGTCCATCACTCCTGCCCACGGGGGGGACCCGCCGAGCCGCCTGTCAAAGAGCCCTTTGGCCAATCTGTCTTAAGATGTGACAGAGGACAGACAAAAGAGATGGAGACACTCCAGCCAGACAGCATCTATCACAATCTGTCTCCCAGATGCCTGACGTGGAGAGATGAAGCAACATGTCGCTTCCTCATCCCCCTCAGTGGACACGAGCAGACATTTTTTATCTTGCCGGCTGTTGGACAAGCTTCTTGTACCTCAGCACGATTAGCATCGTAGTTTGTAAACACAAAAGGACGCGTGTGTCCCGTTCAGCCATTATTCGTTGGTTCCAGTTTGTTTCTCAGAGGTAAACATGCGTTTCTCTGAAACAAGAAATACTGGGTCTCGTCATCACAGCTGTTCTGACGGAGAACTTCAATACTTTTGTAGGATACTACAATACTTTAAGTTTGAGAACGGGAAAAAAAACATTGACATCATTGAGCAAACAGAATATTATTATTATGGTCAGAAGAGTCTGAGGTTTATGGTGAAAACTGTTTTGGTTCCTTTTTTCTGACATGCGATGCAAAGCAGCAGAAAGACCAACAAACCTTTTTATTGACATTATTCGAGAGTGATTTTAAAATGAAATCAAACTAAATATTTTCAGCATCATGTACTTTAAGTAACTGGAATGTCCCTGTCAGCGTAAAATTGTTATATATGACTTTTTTTAAATTATTTTTGATCCATAAACTTTTCAGCAACAACTTAAAGTTAACGCTGATCGAGGTAAAGACACTTTTCTTAACGTTATATATCGTTGGAATAGTTTTTATTTATAATTTATTTATCAATTTCTGATTTCTCCACATGAGAAAAGGAATAAAAAGTGAGATTATAAAGTTTTCCTCCGTCCACTGTGGACGTGTAATCCTGAGACAGTCCCTGCCTGGACCTCGGCGTTGGATGGATGTGGTTATTTGTCCGACATCTGCACGTACGCTCGGCTTCCACCTGTCGATGACCCATAATTACGCAGCTTAAAGTGTGAAGGAGAAAAGATCACAGCTGCGGTCGGGCAGGTGGATGTGGTTTGCACGGGACCGGCTGAGTTCTCTGCTCCGCACATGTGTCTGTTATTATAACATCTACACGCACTTTATCTTAACATGTGGGTGTATCTGTAAAAGGCGGGTGGGGTGGTGGGGGCTTGTTTCCCTCCTTGACGTGTGCTGACAGTCGTGCGGTGATGTCTGGGTGGGTCTCCCCTCTGCGGGTCACACTAACATCATCAATCTTCCCCCTGGTGACAGGCGGCCAGGCCCCCCGACTGTGGGCACAGGGCTGTGTTGTTTTGTAATTAGGCTCCGTTAGATGGCAGGAAACCATCTCTCCATCCCTCCCTCTCACCATCCCTCCATCCATCCGTCCATCCACACCCCTCTGTGCGCAGCTGGCCCTCCGCCAATGAGAAGCTGCCCTGGCTCGGCTTGTAACGATGCCACAGCGATTAATTGATGAAAGTACAGAACGAAGCGCTGGACAAGTTTAAAAAAAAAAACAAAAAAAAAAAAACTTCTGTCTTTGGTTTCTCACAGACGGCTCTGCACTGGGCGGCCAAACATGGCAACGAGGACATGGCCGCTCTCGTGGTTAACGCTGGTGCTGATGTCAACACCAAGTCAGTGAGTGTGTTTTTCACTTTTTCATTGATGCACAATGATTTCGAAAAGGGGCGGTTTGAACTGTTTCAGGACAAATACGCAGCGTCTGAACCTCGTTTGCATTCAAAGAAATTTAAAAGACAAGGAAAAATCAATCGATCAGCAATTTATTGGTGGAAACAGTGATGTCACACACGAAACGTGTTCACAGACAACACAAATGCAAAAACCACAAAACAACATGCAGCCACACAACGGAAGTGAGTGACAACGGGTGTTGACAAAAACGTTAGCAGTGTTACTTTCTGAGGTCGACTTTTTTTGTCTGCGAGCTGCAGTTTGAGAAAAAACCAAATCTGTCTTTCCAACAAAAAGTGTCATCTTCACCTCATCTGTTCAAAATCTAAAGAAAAACTTCTCTGAACTTTATTAAACGTGTGACTGCTGAGGAAACAGATCACGTTCAAAACACAGTCCTCGTGTTAAAGCTGCGTATATTTGATGTCGAGACAAGTTCGCTCCACGGCTGCACTTGATATTAAAAAGTTAAAAAAAAGTAATTTCTTGATTACAAGATGTTTCTATCAACTGAACCTCATTAAAAACAGATATTAAAGAGATAAAAGCAGCTCCTGCAACGACCGATGAGGGAAACGACTCTCTTGCACTTTACATGCAACAAGTTTGTAGATAACATCAGACGTCTCAAACCGAACTTAAAAATAATCCTGACGACGCCAGGGTTGTTTTTTATATTTCATACTTCAGAAAAACATCTCCAGAGTCATGCATCTTGACAAGTAAACTACATTTTGTGTTTTGAATCAGTGGAGTGTCTCTTTTAGGACTATGGTGCTTTGCATTTTGCTTTTTTTTTTTGTGACGTGCGTCCTCTGATTCATGTTCATGTTGTTCTTCTCTCCTGCAGCATGTGAGTATCCAGGCTTCTATCAGGCCGAGCTGGGGTAGGTAGAATACGCTGCTTTGATTTGAATTGATAACAACGGGACGACAACAAGGCTACTGGTGATGTAATGCTCCCTAAACGATCTCTGTGAAGATCCAGCTGTGCAAATGCATTACAGCAGCACGTGTTGTCGGGCTGCGCTAATAAATCATGTCATGTCACGTTAATTGTTTCTCAAAACAGTGCGTCCGTGTGTCAGCGTGCACGACTCCTAAAAACTCTGCAATTTTCAGGGAATTACCAAGCAATTATGTTTTTTTCATCATTATCTGGTGTTTCCATAACCTCTGCTAATTTGTCTCTTTTTCTCTCACTGCTGTTTTCGTTGGCTGCGTTCGGGGCCTGGGAAACTCCAGGGGGTAGGTACCAAACTCAACCCTCCTCAGTTCCTCCCCTCAACTCACCGGAAAGTTAAACCGTCACTTTCCTCAGACATAGAAAGACGAGAAAGAGGAAAAATTAAAAAAAAAACTTAATTAAATGTTTTGAATTTTCTGTTTTGAACGTTTGAATTAGTTTGACTCTTGTTGTCGTTGTGCAGGGGTACACAGCTTTGCACATCGCAGCGTTACACGGTCACCAGCATATTCTGGACCTGCTCATACGGACATATGGTAAAAAAAAACTGCTTTCATTGAAAGTGTTGGTCTCAGAACCAGAACCTCTATGAAACTGAACTCTGGATTATCTCCAGACTTTCTCTGGAGGGGCTGTAAGTGAGAGTTTCTCCTGCCAGCATGATTAGTAATTTCTTACAACATAATGAAAAACACAAAATACAAGTTAATGGTTGTTCAAGTAAATAATTATTTCCCAGAGTTAAACCCTTGATTTGCATTTGTTCTTTGATGGTTTCACTTTATAAAACCAATCAGGTTTCAATCTTGTGTCGTTATTTATCTTTTACCTTTGGATTAGGAGGTTTTTTTTCTGTGTTTAGACAAATGTTTACCTGCTGTTTTCAGAGATTTGTTTTTACTCTTATCAGGCGCTAAAGAAAACTTGAGGGATTACAGCGGCCATCTTGCCTTCCACTATCTCAACGTCAAAGAGCCAGAGGGTCCAGAGGAAGAGTGCGAGCTGCGTGAGTGATCGATTGTTTAAGAGATAATAACCGTTAATCCAGAAACGATTTCCCACAGGTGTTCCTCTACTTTGTCTATCTCAGAAATCCTCGTTTTATTTTACATATTTATGTTAAAAACACTAAAAACCAACCTCTCATCCATTAACATTCGTTTCCTCTGGTTGCAGAGCTTCACGTCACTCAGGCCAGGGAGCGGAACAGGAACAGGAAGTTGGCGACGCTGTTCCACTCCAAGAAGAAGTGGGGCTCGGCGGAGGAGCTGGCTCCGATAGAGGAGGAGAGGACGGCGACGCATCAGCTCGCGCTGCCGCCGTTCAGACCCCGGAAGTTCTCGCGCTGAGGAGAAACGGGATCGCCAGGGACGAGTTCTGACTCGGACATTCAGGCTTTATGTTCATATTAACGCGTAACGTAAACCCTCATGCATTTACCATGAAGTATTAATACTGTGTGTGTATATTAATTATGTGCACACACACACACACACACAGACACACACTTGCACCTCAATATGTAAAAACTCCGTCAAGTACTGAGCACCGAAGCTTTAACTTTGAATAAGAATCGTGATGCTACGCTTCTAAAAGTATTATCAAAGCCTTATGATTTTCATTTAATTTTTCTAAATGTTACTTATGCCTTTTAAAATTTCGACTGAGCTCAGGCTACGGGGATTCTTCAAACTTTCCTTCACCCTCGTTTGTGCTGAAGATGTTTTCTCTCAGTGCGGAGTCACAGGACGAAGCTGGTTTTATTCTCCATTTCAAAAACGATTCATTTCATTCACCACAGGTTTGCTGTTGTTATTTACAGCAACAGGTGAGTTCAACCTTCGAACGTAGACTCACCGCAAACTACGAGACTGTGAAAGAACGTTGAAGGCTCCTGGAAAAGTCGAATCTGTTTCAAAAACCTGTTATATTCAAAGTCAAGGAGGAATACTACATTACCCACAATCCTCAGGTGTAAAAGCAACGTCTCTGATCGGCGAAGCCGGCTGTTCACACGGGAATTTTTACCACAACCACGAAGATCATGTCTGGAACGATGTGGTGGTTTCGGCGCTGCATCCCAGAACCACCATGATTTCTCTGAAGCAGGGATCATTCGCGATGATTCATGGGATACGTAGTTCCTTAAAAAATAATTACGTACACAATCTCGAACCTTATTTTGCTGCAGATCAAATATCTTACGGTCACGATTCATCTCGTTCCGGGCTTCAAACTCCGAGCCGTTCTAAACTGTTGTTTGTACTGTTCATCAATTCCATTTGCTGTGATAATTGTGTAATCGAATCTAAAAGGACGCAGTTACATCATTTGCACAATATTTATACGATGAAGATATTTTGGTATAAAACTGTATTTTATATCAAACTGTTCACTGTTTTTTTTTTTTTTTTACTTCTATGTTGTTGTTTGGCTGAGTGGCCCGGCCGCTCACGCCCCTGCTCGTCCTCATATATCAAACAGAGGAACAACTTGTGATAAAGCTTCGGTCTCTTTCCCTCTTCTCTGCGGGATAACCAGAATTTCTTTAAAAGCTGCTTTTGATCTTTCTTCAACTACCTGACTTCGCCGGCTGCAGATGGAGTAAATATGGGCCCCGCTAACTCTCCATACGGCTTTAAACCTTAATTCCTGATTAGCTGAAAAGGGCAGCACTTGCTTTCGGGTCCTGGATATCACACAACACAGAGGGGAACAGGGGCAAGTGTTTTTGTGCTTCATTTTTGAAGCGGGGATGTTTTGAGGGCGGGGGGGGGGGGTATAAGAGGGAGTTTCTGTAATAGATACTTATCTTACTGCCCTCAAGCCCCTCAAACAAAGTCCCCCTCTGAAGAGATTATAACCCAGGGAGGGCACATTAGCTCTAATCCCATGCTTTGAGGCCTCGCTCCCCCCATACCTCCCTCTGCCCCACTTATTTCAACCCCTTCTGTTGCTGGGGCGGGGGGGGGGGGGGCACCTTGTATCTAGTGCATGTATGAGTAAGGCCTGTGGCTACACACGAGGGTTGTGTGTGTGTGCACTCATGTTTGTGTGTGAGTCATAGTGGGTGGAGCGACTGTTTCAATAGCACGCTGACTCTAATGAAAAGCATTGAGGGGTGCATACTGCTGTGTAACTGATTCCTCTCTCTGAAGAGATTAGGAGCTACATTGTTGGTTCGGTTGCTCATTTCCATGAGAGCACAGCCTCCCACCAGCGGCTGCTCTGCTTTGTTATTTTGAGTTGGAAAACACAGAGCCCAATGTCCCGGGCTTCCTTGTAACCATTGTTTCACAAATAGGCCAAAATGTAGATGTCACGTCACAGATGCCCAATAACCTCATTAGCTGCTCTCTGTGAGGTTATAGGAGAAAATAGTCCGCGCGTGAACTTCACTTCGTCCACTTTAAAATTAAATTCATTTACGACCACTGGTAAAAAAAAAAAACTTGGATATATAAATGCTCAAAGACACACTGTCATGTACTTAAATATGCGTATGAATATATCTGTCAACTATTACAACATAACGGAGAAAAACACGGTTATAATAAAGTAAATTAAGTTTCCACAGGAGAAAATATATAATCTTAATAATATATCATACATGAATAAACATTAAAATATCCCTATTGCTGCATACAAATACTACACAGTGGGTTATAAATCATTAGAGTCGATAATATCATAGTGGTTATGTTCTCCGTTATAAGCAAATATAAAAAGATGCATTTGGTTTTACTTTTCACATGAACATTTTTATTTTATTTCTTGATTTGAATTATATGCAGATATTTGTATTATAGTTATAGTTAAAAAAAGTTTAAAAAATCTATGGTTAAACTGTAAAATATCCTGAAAAAAGATTATTACCTTTCTTTGACATAAGGGCTCAAGAACAACAACCATTTTAAAAATATAAATATATATTTGTGGATATATCGGCCTCCAAAAATCTATATCGCTCAGATTCTAAAACATATAGAAACATGCTTATATACTGTTTATAGATTCTTGTTCTTGTTACAGATGAGAAAATTAACTTCTGGAAAATTGACGTCCTTGAAAGTCGACGGAGAAAGAGATCAGTGAACGGTCGAAGGGTTAAAAACAAACCTGCATTAAGAAAACATGGAGGGATTTTTTTATTTAAATGTTTTGTTCTTTAATTTGAACTTTGATTCCTCGACAGAAAAACAGGGTCCAGCAGAAGAATCAGCAAAACTTAACAGGGTAAAAAGAAAACCTGTTCATATGGTCTGATATCTTATAATCAAACATTTGCCAGGACTTGATCATTTGTGCGACGTCAGAACTCACACCTCAATTTTAAAAAGGAGAAAAACAAATAAAACATCAATTGACGTCACATGCACAGAACAATCCTGAGAGAATTACTCATTAAACCAAATTTAAACTCAAGAATAGTTGCTCTTCTCATTATAACTTTCAGAGATAATCCAGATTGCAGCGTCCTGAGCTGAGAAAACTGCCGTCGCTGCTTTTTATGCTTCTGCTCCGCACATGTTGAGGAGAAACCTGCAGCTGAGGTGCAGAACCACGGAGCTGCGACTCTTAACAACCTCATCTGCAACAACGAGCACGACCGGGCCCGGCCTCTGGCTGAGGGAACCTGGGGTCCCAGCACCCACCCGCCGGGACCCGACACAGGGAGACGCCAGCAGCTGTCACACGGGCCCATCACGGCCTCACCAACGCCGCCTGTCACTCACCCTGTGGAGGGCTGTCAATCAGGCTGCACCCAGGAGGGAGCTGGGAGGCGGGCCACTGCCCGGCCCCAAACAAAGACTTACTTTCATTTGCAAGCGGTTCCAGTGCCACTACTATTTTGAAAGAATGATAGAGTGGTGCTGATAAGAGTAATGACAAAGGACAAAGAGTGGAAGGGGGTCTGGGAGGAGGGGGTCTGATAGTAAAGAGGTGGGAGCGCTTGATAACATTCACACTTTGCTTACATCTCCCCCATTTGTGTCGGGGCCCCAGGAAAATCCCATTAGAGAGGAAAATTGCAGATCTGCGCAGAGACCATCACATTCTGGTCGTCAGCTGTGATTTTGAAAATCACTGGATATACAAGAACGAGTATCCTCTTTTCGTTTTGGTGCATAAACCTCAAAATAACTCCAAGTAGATTCTTTCCGCTCCTGCAGCTCATCAGTCTCTGTCCTCATCTTTCTCCCCGAGTGCTGTAATAAAATAAACTAACAAGCAAAAGGTGTTGAGGAGTTTGCGGATTCTCCTCGGGCTTTTGTCGTCTTCTTCACACCCATCTATGAACTATTCTAATTGCATGTTAAGTCCCTTTGTCAGCTCGCAGGTAGGGGACGGCCCGCCACGGCGGTCACACCTAAACCTATTGTCCCGACCTGTTCACCGGCCTTGTTTAATGTCGCTCCGCGTTTCATCCGTGCTTCATTTAACAGTCTGCTTGAGATATTCAGGGGGATTTAAAGAGAGATATAAAGTGCAGCCAATCTCTCCCCACAGAAGAATGTCTCAGGTGTTTGCAGAGATAAAGATAATTTCATCCTCTCTGCTATCTCGTGTCGTTATCTCCTCTGAGGACAATCGTCTTCCATTTGGTCACTTTTCTCTCCTGTAAACGACCGACATCCTCACAGCAAACAGCGCAAACTCGACCTGTCGGAGCAAGACCAACACCTGCATTGTGGTGGAGCTGCCAAAAGAGGAAGAGAATGTAAAGAAGTCTACAAGATGGACAAAAGCTGCCGCCCAGAGCTGTTTGTGTTGTGAGATGTAGACCACTGATGCCATAAGCCTCCTTCTCTTTGCACTCTGCTCGGCCCATTGTTGCTCTTGTACAAATTTGCTTTAGGCTCTGTGGACCCCACCCAAATAAATTCCTCCTTTCCCTCCACCTCTGCAAGTTTTTATCTGTGGCTATTTCCTCGGTATCTCTGTCTTTACATTTGATTTGACATTATTTGCGAAAAAAATAAAATATATATATATACATCGAAGGATAAAAAGGCTTAAGAGGAACACAGCAGGTTAACCAGTTCATCACTAGGTCTAAAAGTAACTGTATTAAAATACCAATCACAACTTCTCACAGCCCAAAGTCAAATGTTTAAAAGTCTTGTTTTATTTGAATCATAAAAAAAAAAGCTTTTTTCCTTGAAAAATGGCTGAAACAGTTGTTTGATTATCAATATATCGGCTAATTATTTTCTGTCATTAGCGTAAAGGACAAATCGTTTCATCTGTGACCAGCAACATTTCCCACGGAGGCAAAACGAACGACTCTGACGCTGCGTTAAAAATATAGACGACAGGATTCACACACAAATACACAAAAAACACTGTGACTGACATTAATCCAAAATATAAATGAAAGGAGACAAACGCCTCCAGGTGAAAAAGGAGATCATTTACTAGAGTAAAGGTATTAGTACCACGTGGTAAAAATGCTGCATTACAAATAACATTCATGATCATACCCAGGTAAACACACCAGCAGCAAAATGTTATCAAAGTACATAATCCTGGAATTATTATAAGTTATTTATTACGTAGAAATGTGTACGCAGAATTTGTATTCAGTGTTAAAAGGTTAAATTGCAAATGAATTAGTAAAAGTACTATAACTGCCACTCAAATGTGGTGAAGTAGAAGTTTAAAGTAGTAAAATAGTATTTAAGTAAAAGCACTTTTTGTCACAACCTTCATGAATTTATTCACCGTCGTCTGAATCAATTTCAGTTATAGATAAATCTATAGATATGTATTGAAGCTGAGTGAAAGTAAATAAAAAGAGTTACCCAGGCTATTATATTATTATATTTTAAATTAGGGCTGAGCACAAATTATTTAAGTCATTTAATTATCACGATAAACTTCACTTTCTTCATCTGAGTGAAGTTTGTGGTTTTAAACAACAACAAAACATTTAACAAATCAGGGTTCGATCACTCCTCACTGTAAATTACTATCGATGCAAATAACATATCGACTATATAACGATTCCACGTGTTGGGGGTTTGCATTAAACACAACACAGAAGACGGAATAAACAACCGAATCATCAAATGAGAAAACTGTAAATGTTGTGTGGATGTGTTGGGTCTGGATGTGTCCACACTCATCATTAATACCTTCCCCACTATTATCTCTGAATGAAAGCAGCTGTCAGCACCATCACTGCTTCCTGCTGTGAATATAATAATCATCAGAATGATGAGAGATAACAGAGGTGAGCTCCTTTGAACACAAACACTGAAACACTGAGCTCAATGTGGCTCTTTTGAAGGACATGAAGGGGGGGGGGGGGAATAAGAAGTGTAATCTTCTTCTCTTATCTCTAACAACCCCCATCCACACACACACACACACATTAGCATCTGTTATCTCACAATTATCATATACATTAGTCAACACCTGTTTCACTTAACCTCGTTTAATTAGGGCCATTGAAACGCAGCTCTTCACCCTAAACAAAACCATCCGACATGTAAAAGGCCAGTTTGTTGTGGTTCGCTCAATAAATTAGCAAATAAAAAAGCTGCAGCTCTGAGGCTCATGAAGCTGAATGAAAACCCCTCATCCCCCCCCC